ATTCATTGCTCTTTATAACAAAAAATGTGCTTATACATTACAGGAAATATATAGAAGCGTAACTCATCACTGTTAGATGTCAAAAGAGCAATGACAACCCTGAGTTTCTTGAGTTAAATAATATTTTATTATCTTTTTACTTCCATGTGTATCAAAATGTTAATCAATCCATTTCTGTACTTATTTCAACTGACTTAAGTAACGTTCACATTAACGTATGTAAGTAAATAAATTATAGAGTCAAATTAAAACATCTTCTTGAGTTAAATGATTTAACTGCATTATATTAAATTAATGATGTATTGAGAAAAATGAGAAGAAGGATGTTGTAATTTTACAATATTTTGATAAGCATTTTTTAAATATTACTCGCGCGAATATATTTTTATGTAATAACAATAATATATCTTTTTATAATAATAATAAATCTTTTTAAAAATATAATTTTTTAAACGTTCCAAAGTACCTAGTCAAGGGAGGAATGACGGCATTTGGAATAATTCGTGCATAAAAAAATTAGAGTGGAATAGGTCTATATTGGGGAAACTCACTATAAAAAAAGCACACCATGTATCTACCTCATGACAGGTGGTGTGGAAATGATAGCATTTTATTATTTTCTTGGGATAGACATTTACTTACAAGTAGCTTCATAATAGAATTACCTCTATCTATCATAAATATTTTTAAAAATAATAATTTTTTTAAAAAGTTCTGAAAATTGCTGCCAACATAGAGTTTTAAGGGTGAAATCAGGCCTCATGTGTTTCAGCTTTCTCCGCTATATCTTGAAAACTTTAAAAAAAAATCGGTAAATAATTCTAAAAACGCGAATAAATACAGCTGATTTTGTTGTAAAACTTTTGTATAAAACATTTTTTTATATCTCAAATATTTTTCGAGATATAACGGAAAAAGCTGAAAACCGCTGTACACGTAAGGTGATTTCACTCCTTCAAACCGTTTTTTAGCCGAAACTAATATTTTCTAAATTCATCTCTTTATGTAAGCTACAAGTTCACAAAGTTTCATTAAAATCAGAATTTAATACCTCGAAATGTTCCCTTGTAAGCCAAGGCCCCTATTCTGTAACTGTTTTACACGCTTACCGACATTTGTCGGTGTCGTTGCGCAGCTTTTTCACTATATAAAATATCTGCGCAACGACACCGACAACTATCGGTAGGCGTGTAAAGACAATTACAGAATAGGGGCTCTGGAAATAATAATGACAAAGCAATTTATTCGATATCGACCTCCATTTGTTTATAACTTAATATTTAACAAAAGGAGATTGAACGGAAATGAAATTATACACTAGTATTTGTTAACGAAGCTAGATGATAATGATAAAGAGCAATTTATTCGATAACGATCTCCATTTGTTTATAACTTAATATTTAGCAAAAGGAGATCGAACGGAAATGAAATTATTCGCCGGTAATTGTTAACTAAGCTAGGAAATGATAATGAAAAAGTGATTTATTCGTCATTGATCTCCATTTGTTTATAATTTATAACCTAATATTTGACTAAAGGAAATCGGATGGAAAGGAAATTATACGTTGGTATTTGTTAACTAAGCTAGCAATTGGTAATAAAAAAGCGATTTATTCGATCTCGATCTTCATTTGTTAATAACTTAATATTTAACAAAAGGAGATCGCATGGAAATAAAATTATATACACGCTGGTAATTGTTAACTAAATTAGGAAATGAAAATGAAAAAGTGGTTTATTCGTCATTGATCTCTATTTATTTATAATTAATTAATATTTAACAAAAGAAGATCAAGCGGAAACAAGATTAACCCTGTTTATTAACTAAAGACCATGACACCCAAAAAACTTAAGGCAGCAAGACGTAATTAAGCAGCAGGGCTTCAAGATTGAGTAAGGCTTTCAACATTTAATGTGAGTGCAAAAGTGAAATACAATATTTCTCTTATTAGCATTGTACATCTTTGTTATTACTATTTTAAGATTGAGAGTTTGTTCTAAACATTTATATTTCTAAACAATATTCAATTTCATAGAACATATATGTGAGGACATATATGTGAAACACAATCTATAGAAACAAATGCCTTAAACGGTCTAGTTGGATTTTAAGTGCTTGTATAATTCTGTATGAATCTATATTTATATTTTTAAATTTAATTTTTCTTCAATTATATATGTAAATCAAAATTAAATTTTTATTTAAAAAGTAACTTACGTTAAAATTCATTAAATACATCGATGTTTTTTTCTTTCTAAACATGGATCTAAATCCGGAGCCAAATTCAGATCCGAATCTAAATTTAGATCTGAAAAAGATCTAAATTCAGATCAAGAATTTTGTTGTACAAACCGTTTAGCAGAAAATCGTATCTAAAGTGAGGGAGAGACAGTTTAACGACAAACTGGATCCTTCGTAATAAAAAAAAATATATAGACATGCGATATTAAAAATCCTGAGGGGGTAAGCACTAACTGAAATATTGTCCTATAGATTTCATACAATTTCATCTCATTACAAATAATTTTTTTACTATATCTAAAGTCATTCAGTAAAATAAACAATTTTATCTAATATTACCAAGTGATTTCTCGTGGTTGCATTTGTACATTGTTAAATCTACAGTGTCATAGTTAACCTAATGTGAGTCGTCACTGCTCCTACTAAATATGTCGTTATTTTATACTAAAACGATGATTAAATTAGCTGATTGAAATTTGGAAAAAATCGTTCTTGGAGCGATTTTTTCAAAACTATTTCCCCTATTTTTCCTCTTGCACAGAGGTATCTCCGCATGCCAGACAACAAATAAAAAACACCGTACTCGAATATGTGCGTCGAAAGACATCTTTATGGGCGAAAAACCTGCACCTTAGGCGCGCACAATTAAAAAATTTCTAAAAAGTCCAAAAACGATTTCCCCTATTTCTCCTTTTGCACGGAGGTCCCTCCGCATGTCAGACAACAAATAAAAAACACCCCGCTCGAATACGTGCGTCGGAAGGCACCCTTACGGACGAAAA